AGTCTTGTATATATAAGACGTTCACAACGTGACGGGACAACAGAGGGCAATGAGTAATTGAACTGCAGTCAGTGATTGTGTAATTGAACCTGGCCCACAGTGGCATGTCTGCGGACTTACAATGCTAGAATCTTGGTTTCGATACCCGTGGTGGGCAGAGCACATATAGCCCATTGTGTAGCTTTGTGCTTGATTACAAACAACAACAATAATATCTATGTAACCAGAACCCCTGCGCCGTCTATTGAATAGCACCACAAACAAAAATCCATAAAAAGTTTCATACTTTGGGTATTCAAGATTCAGACAATTTGAAAAATAACTGTGGTATGTGCAACAACCATTTCTTTATAATAGAACACAATTTAAAAATAAGTATTTTCCTCACAACAAGAACACGGCTTTCACTGGGACTATACGTGAGGGTTTGATTATAACTTTATTGATATAATATTTAAATGTAGTACTGAGAAACTGGAGTTCTTATATTATTATTCGGTACCACTTTAAATTTATAAAAACATTACAGTTCGGGTCAGTAACATTTATGAAAATTTTGAGCTTTGTACATTGAATTATTTGAATGCAATGAGTTGTGTATGACTAAAGAGCCCAATCCGAACACATTTTCCGTGCAGTACTTCCCACAAAAAATATTTTTTAGAAAATGTTCACTTTAAATTTTGTTTTCCAGTGAGGTATGAATACTAAAATTAGTAAGCACTAATACAAACAGCCGCTCGTAGGGCGGCGTTTCTGTTAGTGTTAATAATGCACAATGAGCAAAGAATTAAGAAAACATAAAAAACACAAATAGTGTCGATAGGCCAAGCTTGACATTCACAAGGGCATTTTTACGTTTTGTTAATTCTTTAAGTATTTGTGTATTATTATGTTGATGTTTTGTTACTGTTATTTTTGTTTTTAAATATATCTTTTTGTTTGATATAATCGCTATTTCTTTAGAGGGGATAACTAGAGCAATGTCGCACTATAAATAATTTAGCCTCTCAATTTCGACCAACCAAATTCTTTATGCATTTTCATAATACGATCAAAATAAAATTGAGATTATTTAAATGTTTTCAGTTGAAATGAATAACACTTATTTATTGTTTTCTACATTTAACAATTCTGATATTTAATATTACAACAAAATGGACCAATGAAATTGACCTCATTTATCTACCCCGAAGCTATTTTATGACCTTTACGAGACTAATCTACTATGTTACTGTTATGAGTGATGTTGGATTAGTGAAGTGTTGTACGTTTCGAAGTTAAAACAATTTTAATTTTATACGTTCTAACTAAGCTTCTCAGTTATAGATAGCTTATAATTAATACCATACGATTTTAACACTTCAAGCTTTGTCTGAAATATATTCTTGATGGTCAAATAACAGGATAAAGTGGAGTTAATAATAAAATAGAAATGTGGCGTAATGCTGCTAATTTTAAGAAGTTAAAGTACAATAATTAAATACATTAGAAGTATGGATTTAAAATTTTGTTTAGCCTTAGTAATAATGGTTGGACTGTGATATTGGCTGAAATTTTTCCATTTGTCGAACTCGAAAGTAGAAATCTGATTTTATGATGATTATAGCATCATTACTACTAGTACTATATATAGGTGCAACCAAATTTCCAAAATACCAAATACTGAAATAGTAAGTTAGGTAATAAACCAAGTATTTCATCAGTGATCAACACAAAAGTAACAATGTAACATTTTAAAATTTCAGATTTAAACATTGAAGATTAATCAATAGGTTTTCCACAATTCATATGCTACATTAGCTTAAGACTTGAGTTAATGAAGCAGCAGCTGAAAATATGTTTATGTAGACGAAAATATACTATTACTAGTAGTGCTACTACTAATGCTATAGTGGAACTAAATGCAACTTTCAACTTCAGGCTTACTCCAAAAACAAGCATCGATCTGCAGAAAAGCATATGGCTGGTAAATCAAGTGAAAGGTAAGACTGTTTACTTAATGTTGATCTCACTGGTTTCTATCAGTGAGAACCTAAATTTACTTGATGTAATTTGTAAATGTTGTTTTTCTTAATTATTAAATCAAAAGCTACAGTACATTAAGTAGTGTAAAATTCGTGATCAGTTATAAAGAACACCACAAACATTATATTAAGCACCTAATAAATCTTTCAGACTCTTCAGAATTTCATCTTTGATAAACTTGTGTAGAGAACATTCCAAAATGTTTATGAACAGAGATTGTAAATGATTATTCCACACTTTGTTCTTCGGAAAGGAAAAACCTTAATTAATATTTCTTTCTAATGTAATATATAACTTGCATGTAAACCTTCTTAATCAAATACTACATTGCATGAATCTAATTTTTTTTAATTATGGTTTCTTTAAAAATGCAACCAAGATACAAAACCTTGCTGTGTTCACCACTGTTCAATGGATATTGCAATCATGAACCACAGTAAGACAGTTTTGTTTCAACAGTAAAATGCACCTTATGCACTTATTTAAAATTATTTTTATAAGATGAAATATACATTAAAAAAAAAAGGTTTGCACGTATATTATCTTAGATTGAGAAGAAAGGGGAATGATGAATTTTCTTTTCCTGAAAACAAGTTTGGAATACATACTTGAAATTTCAAGATGATTTATTTTCTATTCCCATATCATCAGTGCTTAGACTGCTACTATGCATGATGTATCCCATCTGGCCCAATGATCCCTGGTGTTGAACAAAAGGCCTTATCAGCACTTGAAATGACATAGTGTGGTTGAAATATTATTATATATTCTTCATTACTTTAACTCATAAGTTCTTAGAATAAGTGGTCAATGTAAATAGTAATAACAGTAAATGTGATTTTTATGTTAAATGCTACCAATAATATTAATAGCATCTTCATGCCATAACTGATATCCATACTTTGACAACTATGATTGAAGTTAACAAGGCTTTTGTCAGTACTTGTATTGGAGGTTATTCTTATAAGTAATAAATCTGATCCAAAATTTCAATATTAGTTGTTAAATTTGAAAAATCATGTTTTAGTAGTTAGTTATACAGCTCCTTATGTCCCGTTAATACTTCTATTAAAGGAACACAACAATAGCAAATTTTTTAGAAAGCTATTCAACTCACTAAATCCTCCCTTAATTGAAAAAAAAAAATCCAATTTAAGTATACAGCCCTTCATATTTATATATCAACAGAATTTGAAAAAAATTTAAACAGTGTTACGGCTAAAAAATATTTTTAACAGTGAGATACTCAACTGATAAAACAATGCATTCTAATCTTTAGAAATGATAACATTAAATAAAAGTATGTCTATCTATAAGCTGGTAATACCAGTTTTAATACAAGTGAGTTTTTATTTTGATCTAAATACGTAGCTTGTTCTGATCAGAAGTTAATATACTTGATCATCAGGGTAATTATTCTGCAAAGATAACAATCATGTTGCACTATAAGTGCATTTCTCCTTATTAGTCCTTTGTGAGTTTCAACTTAGTTTGGTGTATAAATGTTTCATAACTATCTTATCTATTACAAGTCACTATCCAGGATGCTTGTTTTTCAGTATCAGAACTTGTCAGATGGGCTTGACTATGATAGCCAAAAGTATATCTGAAAGACTACATATATAAAGGGATTATAGGTCTTAATGGTTTTTTTGTTGTTGTCTTGAGACACAAGTAAAAAAATAAGCAGCATTGTATGAAAGGCAAGGGTTTTTACTCACACACATGCATTTCAGTGTAGAAATATAATTGTGTCATCATGCCATTGCAGTTGTCAAGTTGTAGAAAATAACAGAAAATGTTTTCTAGTTTTTAAGTATTTCATGGCACTCCTGCCATAAAAGTGGAGCTCATATATAAAATGTTTCTGTGGTTGTGATAACTAAGCAACTAAATCATTTTGTGGATAGTGCCAAAATAAGACATAAATTACACATGAATGGCATAGCTTAAGTATAGAAATTAGCATTTCTCCTGGGTTAAAGATGAGCAGTCATGAAAATTCTGTTAATCTTGTATTGAAGTAAGTTTTTCATCAAGTTTACAGTCTTTTTTCCCAGTGCCTTACTGTCGTAACTGAAGTCATTACATCCAAGATACTTCTTTACTTATCTTCTTGTTTCAAATTGCTTTAAAATGTTTTTCTTTTTGATATATACACTTGCTTGAAGTACTTATTAACTCAATACATTTAAAAGAGGTGTTGGCAGATACTTAAATGATCCAAGGCTCGGGCCCATAGGCACAGGAATTTTCAGTGTTTCAGTATGATATCATGGTTTCCTTTTTGGTTTTTAAAAGACTCCAACTGGTAATTTGGGGCTTTATCAAAAAATATTAGGGCATGGGCCCCAAATACCAGTGCCTAGCAACATCTTTGCATTTAATTATGATCTATTTGAAGGAAATTGGTGAGCTTGTCTTGTGTACAATAGATAGCATTGAATCTTATAGCTTTGCTAAGAAGGAAGAAAATGCTGTGTTGCTTCATTGTTCAGAAACAGTGAATATGCATTATTTTCTTTAGCTTTATTATATCAATAATTTGGCTGGTGATATCTATATTAACCAATAAACATTGGAACTGCATGTATTCTAAACTCAAACTTATTGAACATTACACTTAAATAAAATACTTTCAATATTATCAGAGGTCTAGTGCGTGTGCTACTCGGGGTACAAGTTTATTCAATTGTATCTGTGCGACTATTACAAACTAATGCTATAAGTTTATATGTTATATTTCAAAAAATCAAATATATATTCATGTATGGCATTTATAAAGTATTTGGAATATTTTCCAATAATAGTATTCCAAGTTAGTTTCAAAATTTAAGTTTCAGGTTTTTCACGTTGTGTTTCGGAGAAAATGTGATATTATTGCCATTCTACTCTACTATTAAATACTATTTTGTAAATACTAGTAGTATTTACAAAAAAACAAATATGTAGTGAACCTCTTAACTTAAAGATATGGGTTTTGTGTTAAACATGTATAACGTATCAACGGTGTAATTTCAGTTAGGTTAGATCTTTTTTTTGTTATTGTTTTCAAAATGTTTCTGATATGAACTCTTAAAGCTAACATTACATTGTTGATAATATAAATTTATTGTTCACACTTCTGATAGCTTATATGATATAAATGTTTTTGTGAGTCCATGTATTATGGTTGCATTTTACTACACATGACAATCAAGATTAAACCCCTGGCATAAATTATGCAACAGGTTGCTTGTTGGAACATGCTTAGGGAGGGAAAAAAGGGTAAGGGAAGGAATTAATGCTATAATGTTTGGAGTTCAATAATTCTATAGAACTGATGTTTAAAACAATATTCAGATTTACAGTTATAACATTATTGGTAATATTAACATACATTACCTGAGTCTCTCGTATGGAGCAGTTGTAACCAAATTTATTGTTGTAAAAAATAAAAAAGGGCCATTCTAAGTAGAAAATTAGTTAAATTTTAGAATTAAAAGGTGTTTCATCTTCATTCTAAAAGAAGTTACATGTACACCCAATATGACTTGCCACCAATTTCTGAATGGAATTCCAGACCAGTAGCTCTTTTGTGGGTGGACGTGAGGAAAAGGACATTTTTGAAAGAAATGATCAGCCTTACTTCAAAGCTTCATAGGTGTTTTTGCAGGAAAGGCCACCAATATAGACAAAGGGTCCTAAAGCAAAAATATTCATTATTACTGAATATTTTTTAGTATATTTCAAAGTGACCTTAATTCTTGTTTATCTTTAAGTCAACATTTTTTTTAATGTCCTTTGGCCTCAGAAAGGACATTCCAAGGTGGATTCCATAATACTTTGAAAGATAAAACTTAAACATTATACTTGCATATCAGAATAGTGTGGTCAGTTAAACTGCACAATTGTTCTCACTTGTGACTACATTCTGACACCACACTCTTTCCCTATTGGTAGATTTTAGATAGATATTATCATAAATTCAATCACTTGGCAACAGAACCTAAAGGAGACAATGGTTATCTAGTCTAGTCAGAAAACTATAGTTTAGAATGCGACACATTTTTGTCCAAGGAAATAACAAAATGGTACTACGAAACATTTGTCTGGCGTATTGTACCTAAATTATGAGAGTTTAATTAGAAAAGTAACGCGGTGAGTATTTTTAACATGACCGTTGTATTATCTACAACCTTTTACCGAGAACAGTAACCATCAGTGTACAAATGGCTATGACCTAGTTCACAAGTTATGTGCATATAGCCTGCTAAAAGATATACGTGTGATATACAATTATGATTAATAAAAGTATTGCTCGAAACTAAACTACCTCACTCTCAATTTACTGGTTTTTGATAAGATATTTATGAATTTAATGCTGTTAGTGTAACATCTTTTAGATTTTGTTTATCCATTAGCTATCATCTTAAATATTTGATTTATGAACAACTGTTTTGAAGAAATTAACATAAAACTAGGCTTAAGTAATCTACAATCTAACCATATTTAAAAGGCAAGACCTTAGCTATTCTGTTTGATGCTAAGCCCCTGTCAGAAGAAGCCAAGGTCTGGGGGAAAAGGGGATTGAATTTTGATTTTAAAATGATTACCTCAAAGTTTTTGACACTAAAATTAACAAGATTTGAGACAAGACACAAGCCAAAAATAAACAAAAAAATTTCTCTCTGAAAAAAAAAAAACCTTTGGAAACAATGTTGAAAAAAATATCTTATATGATCACATATACTACCCTCTTCTTTGTAGCAGCAGTATTTATTCTCTGGGTGAAACAGTGAAATCCTTTGTTTTGTAACGTGCTGTTGATTCATCTTATACTAGCACTCCAAGTCGTTTGAATGACATTTTTAGTCCTACTGCTTTCAGTTAAGGAATTCATCTTGAATATATATACATTATTCACTTCACACTTTACAGACATCCAGTTGTTATGTTATTTGGGATAAATCTTTGG